GCCCTAAAAGAAATGATCAGTGAGAACTAGAATTTTGTTCTTTTCTTTCCGAGTTATCTACTCCTGTTAAACTTTTCTTACCGCATAACTTTTACACGTCTTATTTTTGGACTTGAAACTTCTATAGTTTTGTGTTGATCTTTTCTTAGAACTTTATCAATGCTATCTTTCACTTCTCTTATTAGGATCTTTTTTTGGCGTGATTATATATAGCGACGGTTTTGTAATATTTGTCCGGTATTTATGAGTTTGAATCACATCAGAATATGATGCTTATACGGGATTTTCTGAGCTATTCATCTGGCGCTGTTTACGAACTCAACCATCCCTCACTCGCCGATGTGTTCTGAGATGATTCATTCTCAACATCTATAGATTAATTATTTATTTATTTATCTATTTCTCCATTTTCATATACCTGTGCGTACTATCATTGCTAATGCCAACCATCTCTATGACTCTTTCAGATTCACACTCACATGTGCTACTCCAACTTCAACGACATCATCCACTCAATCATTGACATGGATGCCGATGTCATCACAATCGAGAACTCCCGATCTGACGAAAAGCTCCTCTCTGTGTTCCGCGAAGGAGTCAAGTATGGTGCAGGCATCGGCCCTGGAGTATACGACATCCACTCTCCCAGGATCCCATCAACCGAAGAAATTGCAGACCGCATCAACAAGATGCTGGCTGTTCTCGAGTCCAACGTTCTCTGGGTGAACCCAGATTGTGGGTTGAAGACCCGTAAGTATACGGAGGTTAATCCTGCTCTTACCAACATGGTTGCTGCTGCCAAGCAGCTGCGCAAGGAACTGGGCAGTGCCAAGTGAAGAAGAGGTCCTCTTCTTGAATAATGTGATGTTTTCTTCGGTTTTGGTTTAATAGAACTTTGATTTATTGAGGGAAGATAAATTAATGAGGACTTGCATCTTTGTCTGAGGGTATGTTGCTGGAGGCGTGTGTATGTTGTATTACTTGAGCTATATATGTATGGCTCTGATGGTAACTTTATTGAGATCTGTGGAAGTTTTCATTTTTTTTGAATGTCTTATTTCTAAATGTCGCATGCATACCAAAAGACACCAATTCTTGGATCAATGCATAGATCAAGATACCGTCTCGGTGCGCATTTCCCCCCCTTATTAGAATTGAACTCGTGACCTGGTACATTAAAGGCAGAAGTATATATGTTGTTAGTTGTAAATTGCACTTTGTACGGCTTTGTAGTATGTGATAGAATCCAAGTAAGAATCTTTTCCCATCAATTAGTTGTAAATTGCTCGCAGAAAATTAGGCACTTCAGAGCTTGTGTTATCAGTTCAGAAAATTTTATTTGAATCAAATAGCTGAAAGCCTGAAATTAACTTCCTTGATCTTGGGAGGTGTGCTAGAGTATTTGTGTAACGTCCCGCCCCGGAATCCTGGAGTCGGTACGTTATTAGATCTGATGGACTGGCCTCACAAACCACCACATGTCTTTTCAGCACGTTTTGTCCTCACTCACGCGCTCCCTGGAAAACTACACAGGGGGTCACCCATCCTAGAATTTCTCCAGGCCAAGCACGCTTAACTTTGGAGTTTCTAAGAGTTGGGTTTCCGAAAAGAAGATGCATCTTGGTGGTATGAGTATTCCAATCAAATATATCAATACTAATCACATCACCCCGTATGAGTATTCCAATCAAATATATCAATACTAATCACATCACCCTCTCAAGGGTTGGGGTATTACAATTTGCTTCTTAAATATGAGAACTGATTTGTTGAAACTGCATATTGAGTTGGAGTACACACCCTACGAGAATGCTCCGTGAGGCGCAGCGTGTTGGCTTAGACGGGAGAGCATGGAGAGTAGTATTCCTATCAAAGCACTACCCTATATGGGAGAGTACCGGCCACACACGAACCGTAATAATTATGAAAGAGAGTTGTTACAGGGACCCCTATTCCCAAATAGGGGAACCTGAGTGGGACATATGAGATGTCGTCTCTTTGTCCTGTGATGCACTGTTCTGTCCTCATATGCACATGCTTGGATTGCGGGGCGTTCTGATAAGATACGTGCTCGTGCTCGGGTGTGGGGAGGGTGGGAGGGTATTTCAGTAGTTACGCAGGCTAATATGGTTTAGAATGCTCGCACTGTGTGGGGGCTCTTGATAGGATAAATAATGTACTCTATAGGGCTCTGCTATTAATTGAATTAGTTCCGGATCTTTGCATTGCAGGAACTTGTATTAAAAAAAAACGAGGAATTTTTTAAAACAGCCCCAAAAAGTTTTTTATTTTTCAAAATCGACCCGTTTTTTATTTATTTATCAAAATCGACCCACTTTTTGTCACGTGGGCTTAATGACGTTCCTAAACAGTCGGGGTTGCCAACCCTGATTGTTTAGGACATGAAAATTTCGGGTTTAAGAGTTTTAATTAGGGTTTAACACCCTCCTAAACGGTCGGGGTTGCCAACCCCGACTGTTTAGGAACTTCATTAAGCCCACGTGGTAAAAAGTGGGTCGATTTTGATAAATAAAAAAAATCGTGTCGATTTTGAAAAATAAAAATCTTTTTGGGCTGTTTTGAAAATTTGTTCTAAAAAAACCTATATCGCTAACTACGTTGGATCTTATTATTCTTTTTCCTCGGAGGTCAATCACTTTTGTGGTACATAAGAAAGCACACGCTTTAACACTATATCAAATTAGGTGTGAGATCTCACCGGTCCCCATCCTCCACCTTACCCAACCCACTCACCAAACATTTTCCCACCCGCACCCTTTTAAAAAGAAAAATATAAAATAAAAGCATCCTGTCTTTTCCTTTCAAAAGAGTGTCGATTAAAATAAATAAAATTTCAAATTTCGGAGCACCAAACCATTCTCACTCGGAAAACGCTAAATTATATTATAGTTCCTATACTACTTTTTACTATCACTACGAATATGAGGCTCTTTTTTGGAAAATGGTAATAATAAGAATATGATGAGTTAGTATGGCCTCATTTTTTTTGTTTATGATAGTACCAAATTAAGTAGTATGATAGTTTTAATACGGTTATCATTCAGGTCATGTTTGTTTTATTAATAGTTTGGAAAATATTATAAAATAATCCGGACCCACCATTTATAACATGTTTGTGAAACTTTTGTACATCCCTTTGTTTATTTTCCAAGTGACCTTTTTTGTTTTTCTTCGTGCGAGCTTCGTTCATTCTTACATGAATTGTTTTTCCTTTTCCTTTCTCGCTAACAATAGAGGGTTCTTTCGTCTCCTCATGAGATCAAAGTTATAACAACTAGTAATGCTACAAAAAAAATAATAAATATGATTTGACTTCAAATTTAATATAAACTATCTACACAGATACATCGCAGTTCATGCTCACAGGAGTAATGCTATAAAAGAATAGAGCAAATTATCCAGCATCACCATGTAAACTTAACATTAATGTATGTACTCCTGTTCTCTCTTAAAAAAACAACAACGTATGTATTCCAACATAATAAACTTTATCAAATGAAAATACAGTTGTCAAAGCTAGGATTTTATTCGTCAATTTAATTCAATTTTACAAGACTAAATTTTTTATCAAATTGTAAATGTATTTATGCATATGAGCATAGTACTAATTAGATCTTTTTTAAATGATTGTGCTTTGCCGAATCAATAAGATTGTTTATTGTTTCGATGATAGGTATAGCGTAGCATATCTATTTTGTAGACGGCATAATGCACATATTTTGAAATGTTTTTCCAAACAAATGGATTAATATAGTATGAGTTGATTGGATGACGATAATGCTATCCTGTTTATGGTATCAGTCCCATTGATTATAATCCCCCTAAAAACAAACACTAGCCTAGGCTATTTTAATTTGGTACAAGTGTTAGTTCACGTAAAAACAAATATTAGATGGCACTAAAATAATTTCAGAATAGGGTGTTGCTATGGGGACTTCAAATAGGAGACCTAAGAGGGGACAGACGAGGTGGCTCCCCCAACCCGAATGCGTGGTACACTGTTTATGAGCAGTGCATCATGCATTCCCCTATTTGGGTTCCGTGAGGCATTTTTGTTTCAGAATAACACAGTCTCGCGACTGTAGCTTAAAGTTGTAGTATCCCCTAGGTGGACGATAAAAAAAAAATGGCCCAAGGTGATCATCTCTCTTCAGGGCCTGTTCGTTTGCCTAAAAAAAAGAGGGAAATCAAAGAAATGGAAAACTATTAAAATGAAGAATTGTTTTTGGAGTGTTTGGTTGGCTAAAAAAGAAGGAAATCAAAGAAATGAAATTGAAATGATGTTAGTTGTCACCTTATTATTGGATGATGTTTGTGATTTTTTAAGAAAACTAGTTTTGGAGTGTTCGGTTGGCGAAAAAAAATAAGGAAATGAATTATAAGAAACCTATTTCCTGTAGTTTCTTGTTTTCTTTTGTTCGGTTCATTCTTAAAAATAAGAAATGAAATGAGATGAGATGAGTTGTCATTGTATTATTGGGTGATGTGAAGAAAGATTAAGAAAAGTGTTTTCATAACTTTTTGGGATGAAAATGAAGAAATGAAATGTTAATGAGATGAGGTGAATTGTTATAATATTTTATTGGATGATGTGAGTGATTTGAAATGATGAGAAGAGATGAGTTGAGTGATGTTTGGATGAAAATAATATTTTATTAGATGTGATGGATGAGTTGTTAGATGAAAATAATATTTTATTAGATGTGGTGGATGAGTGGTTAGATGAAAATAATATTTTATTAGATGATGTGGATGAGTTATTGGATGAAAATAATATTTTATTGGATGTTGTGGGAGAGTTTTAGGGATGGAAATGGAAGAAATGAGTTATTTTGAGATTTCCACCTTTTCCATTTCCATTTCTTGGTTTTTAGGAAATAAACGAACAGGCCCTCATAGGAAAGCTTTTCTCGGTTCTGATATGCCAGCTCACCCCGTCGTGGGCCCTCCGCCACGTTTTCCCCCTCTCTATATAAATACCCTCGCAGCCCACCGGCCTCATTCCCTCTCGCGCTTCTCTCCTTTATATTTGGGACTAATTCCTCCTCGTAATCAAAAGGTAATCTCGTTCTTTAATCGAGGGTTAGGGCTTTCTCTCATTTTATTCTCTGCTTAATTTGGTATTCAGATCTCGCTCCATTTCTTCATTTGTGCTTCGGATATAGATCCAAGGTCTCTGCTGCTTTTTCTTTAGACTGCTTTGGATTTAGATCTGAGTTACTTTTGAGTCCACCAAGGGAAGGAAAGGAAAGGTAAAGGTAAGGAGTAGATCTGGTTGTATACTGCTGGAGATGCTCAGATCTGATCTGAAATGGAACTTGGCACTTGAAAAAAAAGTTTATGCTCATGAATCGTAGCTTTGTCGTAACGGTTAGATCTAAAGATTTGAACTTTTAGTTCCTTGATTGAGGATTTTAGATGATCGGATTCTGTTTGTGTTTAAGTATTCTTTAGATATGAGTAGTTTTGGAGTTTGTTAGATTCTTAATTTCTTATTGTTTAAGGTCACATAACTGTGAATCTTTCTCTCTTTTGTACGCACTGTTCGCGATTCTGTAAGCTGTAGATTTGGTCACGTGACGTATTGAGTTGGAAAATGAATACAAATGTGACTATATATTATTACTACTGGTCCTGATGCTAATTGTTACGCTAGTCGTTTAAACTTGTTTAATGAGTCACGCTTTTGATAGATCTGTATAGAAACCTGAAGCGAGATCCCCACTTGTTCCTGCACAATTATTGAAAAAAATTGATACCCGCTTATTTTAGTACTTAAAAAAAAAGAAAAACCAAATCATACGTTATATTATTGTCAAAATGTTGGGCCTAGAAAAATCCATGTCGGTTCAATTTTGATCACTTACCAGCATGGAGTTCAATTATAAGTACTGAAAATTTTGTGCTATACCGTGTGTTGTCGTAGGAGCTGCTTCAAAGCCACATCGAGCTTCCACTGTACTTTAGCATATGAAAGAGGATAGACTAGAATTTTTTTTTTCTTCGTCATCAATGTACCATATTAAAATAAGAACATCAAATCTTTTTGAAAAATGTAATGTTCCCTTTATCTTTACGGACATTTTCTACTTAGTTTGCTCGAAGATCATATTGAAAATTTTGTTTTCAATCATGCTCTAGGTTCTTATATTCTTAAGTTGGTTATTTGATTTATTATGATCAGAAAAATGGCGTCCCACATTGTTGGTTATCCTCGCATGGGGCCAAAGAGAGAGCTCAAGTTCGCTTTGGAATCTTTTTGGGACGGGAAGAGCAGTGCAAATGATTTGCAGAAGGTTTCTGCTGATCTCAGGAGTTCTATTTGGAAACAAATGTCTGATGCTGGGATCAAATACATTCCAAGCAACACCTTCTCATACTATGATCAAGTTCTTGACACAACGGCGATGCTAGGTGCTGTTCCGAAGAGGTATGGTTGGAATGGAGGAGAGATTGGCTTCGACACCTACTTCTCTATGGCAAGAGGAAATGCCACCCTTCCTGCTATGGAGATGACCAAGTGGTTTGACAGACACCTACTTCTCTATGGCAAGAGGAAATGCCACCCTTCCTGCTATGGAGATGACCAAGTGGTTTGACACCAACTAGTAAGCTAACTCAACTCTAAAATGCCACCCTTCCTGCTATGGAGATGACCAAGTGGTTTGACACCAACTAGTAAGCTAACTCAACTCTATAACCTCTACAATCAATGCTCCTGTAATCATAGTTTTCGAGATGTACAGATTACTCATTTCTTCTTGTTTTAAATTCAGCCACTTCATTGTACCTGAATTGAGCCCAGATACGGCATTCTCCTACTCTTCTCACAAGGCTGTGACTGAATACAAAGAGGCAAAAGCGGTATGGATTTATTTATTTTGTAGTTTGATTCTCGAAATTCATAGCCACTAATCTACAATTTAGTCAATGTTGTTTAAGAATACACTGTTCATGCTTAAGCTGTCTTCAATTCACAACAGATATTGTACTGTTACTCTGCTTTACTGCAAAGAGGCTGTATCATGAAAATTTGTAGGCCTTTTTGTATGAGTCATCCTTATCAATGCATTCATCTTGGTTCTTCACTCTTGATACAATGCATATGCTTTTCAAATTAATGATATGTAATTGCAGATATTGTTTAAAAGACATAAAGTTGCATGATATAGATGTTACGTTATGGCCTACCTTACGATAATGGAAACCATATATCTTTCAGGGTTTCACTATCTTGTTTAATCACTTTGAATTAGTCTCATTTTATATTTAAATACTTTTTGTTTGTTAGTTTGAAGCTTTATAGTCAGACTTAAGGATGATATTTTTCAGGTGTATCTAAAGTGTTTTTTTTCCGTCCTTTTTTGTTTCAGTCGAGTACATACTAGTTGCACTTATTTAATATATTCACGAATAATATAAATAATGAATTGAAGATGCTTGGCGGTCTTATTTGCCGGATGCTTTCATATCATCGTAGACTTTGTATTCATTTCCTGTGAAGTAATTACATCTCTTGCCGTAACTCCTGGTACTCTGAACATGACATGTGTATCTAGCTTTATTGTTATTTTTAAATCGCACCATCCATGTTTCTTGTTGTTTGATTATTCTTTTGGCTCTTCTGATCCAGCTTGGAGTTGATACAGTTCCAGTACTCATCGGACCTGTGTCTTATTTGTTGCTCTCGAAACCTGAGAAAGGAGCAGAAAAATGCTTTTCTACCCTTTCACTATTGGACAAAGTTTTGCCTGTTTACAAGTAAAGTTTCTAATATGTTTCCGCATATGGTCTATTTTGAACAAAACTCAATTCTTTCCTCTGATAATTATTCATACACATAATGTTCTAATGTGCAGGGAGGTTATTGCTGAGTTGAAGGCAGCAGGTGCTTCATGGATTCAGTTTGATGAACCAACCCTTGTGTTAGATCTCGAGTCTGACAAGTTACAAGCATTCACTAAGGCATACTCAGAATTAGAATCATCATTTTCTGGTCTGAATGTGCTCGTTGTGAGCTACTTTGCTGATGTTCCAGCTGAGGCATACAAGTTAGTTGGCTCTAACAATTCTCTTTGGTAATTAGTTAACCTAACTGTTTTGCTCCAGTTTATCTATATTCTTGCTTATTTCAGGACTCTTACTGGCTTGAATGGCATATCTGGTTTTGGATTTGATCTTGTTCGTGGAACCAAGACTCTTGACTTGGTCAAAAGTGGCTTCCCTTCGGGAAAGTATCTCTTTGCCGGAGTTGTAGATGGAAGGAACATTTGGGCCAATGATCTTACTGTATCCCTCGACACACTTAATGCTCTTGAAGCTGTTGTCGGCAAAGGTACTTGAATTTGATTACAGGTTGTAACGATTTCAAAATTACTCCAGAGTTTAAGTCTGGCTGTCCATATGAAGCAAATTGCTTCAGATACTTAATTCTTTTTGTTTAAATTTTTGGTTTTTTTTACTGAACAACAGTTGTGTTTTTATATTAAAGTGAACATTTGAACTTAAAAAAAGCAATGTGGAATATGATTATATAACAGGGCCAAAAAAGTATTTTAATAGTTCCGTTCTTGAAGAAAATAAATGGACTGAAATAATGAAGCTGGATATGAGGGAGAATTGTGAAGCAGTATCATAATTATTTATAACAGCACACCTTATACCTTGTGAAATTTTCATGCTAGTCAAGGCATACCTTTACTGCTCAAATTCTCAGTAACCTGTTTCATTAACTTTTGTTTGTTACACGTTGGAAATACCAGTTGCTATTTGTGAATTGATGAAAGATATGGAGAGGCTAAAATAATCTACATGCATGTGATGTGATATTTCCTTACCAAGCGGACATAATATAATTTATCGTTAATTGGTGAAATCCTTGCTTTAATTTATTTTGATTGTAAGCATCAGAAATTCAATAAGTTTTCTGTTCTTTGTAGACAAGCTAGTGGTGTCAACCTCTTGCTCTCTGATGCACACTGCTGTTGATTTGGTGAATGAAACTAAGTTGGATGATGAAATCAAATCTTGGTTGGCATTTGCCGCACAAAAGGTGGTAGAAGTGAACGCTTTGGCTAAGGCATTGGCTGGTCAGAAGGATGAGGTATAAACTTGAGTAACTGTTATTTGCCCTCAATTCCTGCTTCACCAGGACTTGTTCTTTCTTGGAAATGTTTTGCTGATTTGTATAGGTGATTTAGTTCAATGTTCTAATTTCATTTGTCCTGAATGCACAGGCCTTCTTCTCAGCAAATGCTGCTGCTCAGGCTTCAAGAAAATCATCCCCTAGGGTTACTAATGAGGAAGTCCAGAAAGCTGTACGTTTTTCTGAACTCCGTCTCTCTTTTCTGATTTCAGAAAGGCGGTTAACTGATAAACTTTTGCCTTGGGTCTCAGGCTGCTGCACTTAGGGGCTCTGACCATCGCCGGGCTACAAATGTTAGTGCCAGATTGGATGCACAGCAGAAGAAGCTGAACCTTCCTATCCTTCCAACCACAACTATTGGTTCATTCCCTCAGACGATTGAACTCCGAAGGGTGCGCCGTGAGTACAAGGCAAAGAAGTAAGTTCCCTTCAGTGAAAGCAGTTTGAATCTCATATGTATTCTTTAGTTTCTGTATACTCCATTTACTCCCTCTTATCATGCTTTCTTGCAGGATTTCTGAGGAGGAATACGTAAAGGCCATCAAGGAGGAAATCAGCAAAGTTGTCAAGTTGCAGGAAGAGCTTGACATTGATGTCCTGGTTCATGGAGAACCTGAGGTGAGCTCAGGCTCTGCTGTTATTCTTTTCCACATGTAAATAGATCAAAAGTTCAGTAATTGTGACACTGACAGTATCTAGTTAGCATGTGGTGTTGTTTTCCAATATGTAAATGTCCATTACCTTTTGATTTTTCGGTAAGAATTCAAAACTATAGGGCAACTATCAGAAGGAGAAATACAAAATAACTCGTGCAATATCCTTTAACTTGATCATTGTAAGCTATGTTAGCATATTATTGTATTCTTGCAAGTTCCAGAAACTGATGTTTTATTTTAAGTAAAATTTAATACTTCATTAATTTTTATTATATATTTTAATAAGCTGTATTGCAGCAGTACATCCTTGAACTTCTATGAGGGTATTTGAAGATTGCGAAATAAGTATCATGATTCATTTCTGGTGCAGAGGAACGACATGGTTGAGTACTTTGGGGAGCAGCTATCTGGCTTTGCATTCACTGCCAACGGCTGGGTGCAATCATATGGTTCTCGATGTGTTAAGCCACCGATCATCTATGGTGATGTGAGTCGTCCTAAAGCCATGACTGTGTTCTGGTCCTCAATGGCCCAGAGCATGACCTCACGCCCCATGAAGGGAATGCTCACTGGTCCAGTGACAATCCTCAACTGGTCGTTTGTCAGAAATGACCAGCCAAGGTAAAGCTAATTGCCTTCATCTTCATACATCCTCCGTTATGGACTATGATAAGTTAATAAGCCATCCCTTTTTCCCACAGATTTGAGACTTGCTACCAGATTGCTCTTGCCATCAAGAAGGAAGTAGAAGATTTGGAAGCTGCAGGAATCAATGTAGGTGTTATTGTGTTTTTGTGCGAGTTAAAACCTCTTTATATTTCTAGAGATCAATGCTTATTGTTTGTCTGATGCAGGTAATTCAAATAGATGAAGCAGCTCTAAGAGAGGGGTTGCCTCTTCGCAAATCTGAGCATGCTTTCTATCTTGACTGGGCTGTGCACTCCTTCCGTATCACCAACTGTGAGATCAAGGATACTACTCAGGTATGCTTAAATTTAGTTTTCACGTAATGACCCGGATTTCTATAGGAGTATCAATCTCTGTGCTTATCTTAAACCCATTTCCCGGTCCCACACATTTTTCTGTACATCTACTGCATTTTGCAGCTTAAAATTAAAACTAGTTGAGCTATTATCTCCTTAAAGAAATTGATCAAGGAGAAATATAACTTTGCTCATTTTAACTCCCGAGGTCTGTGCTATTGTTGATCTTTTACTAGCCCCTTAACATCTACATTTTTTAGTTTTTGGACTTCTAAGTTGTATACGTCTTGCATACACCTTTTCTTTGAATTTTACTCATTATTGGTATTAGTCATCTTATATATTGGTTATCTTGTAAATATATATTCATTCTAAGTAGACTATATATCTATATATTTATTTATCAATTTTGTGTATGTTGAGTAATCTTTCTTAGTAAACATCTCCAACACCGCCGATATATCTTCATAGCATGAGACTTGTTTGGCCTTGGCTTGACAAATGACGACCAACATAACCTTCTACACAATCTCTGCGATAATCAAACTTCCCAATACGCTCATTTTACATTCACCTATAAGTTTAATCATCACCAACCATCTTTATCTCAATTCCAGATTCACACCCACATGTGCTACTCCAACTTCAACGACATCATCCACTCCATCATCGACATGGACGCTGATGTGATCACAATCGAAAACTCCCGATCCGACGAGAAGCTCCTCTCTGTTTTCCGCGAGGGTGTCAAGTACGGTGCTGGAATTGGCCCCGGAGTGTACGATATTCACTCTCCTAGGATTCCATCGACTGAAGAAATCGCTGACCGCATCAACAAAATGCTCGCTGTTCTCGAGTCCAATATTCTCTGGGTGAACCCAGATTGTGGGCTTAAGACCCGTAAATATGCCGAGGTTAACCCTGCACTTACAAACATGGTTGCTGCTGCTAAGCAGCTGCGCAAGGAGTTGAGCAGTGCCAAATGAACAACTTAGAGAGAGAGATGTTTATTTGGTTGCCTATTTGAATAACTTGGGTTTCTGTTTTGTTGGTTGGTATTTTAGATTTGTTGAGGGAAGTGTAAGAGGATGTTTAGAGTGACTACTTGTTTTCATTGAGAGTAAGCTAAGTTTCTGTAGGCATATATGCTTGTTGGATTGTTTTGAGCTTTTTATATGGAGAGCTCTGATGGTTTTCCGCATTACTGAAATCTATGAGAGTTTTTGGTTTGAAAGTTCAATTTTGTTATTGATGCTCGACAAGTCTGTAAATGTGCGTATCTGCTATTCCTTCATGGTTATCTGAACAGTGTTCTGCGGAGGTAATGCATCGATGCTAGTGCTTGGAAAATTTGAACAGTTTAAGTTCATTGTTAGAAATTTCCCTGGAGTATCCATAAACTTGCTTCCTATAAGTAAAGCAACTGGGCCTCTTGATGGATTTTGAGGCAACATACAATTGTAGCTGTTACCGGAGCATTTTGTTTACTCGATTGCTGTGCGTTCCTTTTTTTTCTTCCTGGCTGCCCTTTTTTGGTCGAGAGTACGTTACGTCTTTGTAGGTACGTATGTTTGTTGGATTGTTTTGAGGGAAGGGTTGTTTTTAGTGAGTGCTGTTTTTTAGTGTACGTTGAAGTTTTTGTAGGTATGTATGCTTGTTGGATTGTTTGAGCATATATATATATAGAGAGAGAGATTAATGGGTATCCTTGTCATAGGAGGGGATTTCCTCCTTGACGCCTCTAAAATCACATGATTGAGCGACATTATGAATAATCTGCTTCGTTGAACTTGTTCTACATATTCTAAAACCTCAACACACCAAGTTTGGGGTGAATCCGTCGTCGTTTGACCCTCCATCGAGCCATGTGAAAAATTATATTCATTCAAAACCGTTAAAATTGATACGAGTGGATGAAGGGTCAAACGACGACGGGTTCACCCCAAACTTGGTGTGTTGGGGTTTTAGAATATGTAGATCAAGTTCAACGGAGCGGATCATCCACAATGTCGCTCAATCATGTGATTTTAGAGGCGTCATAGGAGGAAATCCCCTCCTATGACAAGGATACCCATTAATCTCTCTCTCTCTCTCTCTCTCTCTATATATATATATATATATAAGTAAAAGAATTTTTAAAATGTTAAAAGGGTTCTATCAGTAAATTACATCTTAAATATCTAAAACCATACCCCAACATACCTCTTTGTCGTCTGTTCTTTTTGTTTTTTGTTTTCCCGTCACTGTCTCGCCGCACCAAAAAAAAGAAAAGAAAAGAGAAGGAGAAGACCGAAGCATCGACTTCGAGAGGGCATTAGGTGCGTACCTGGGAGGAAAGGTAGATAAACAAATCTAGGTTTTACCTTTATCTAATCTCCATCTTAGCATCACTATTTAATATTACCAACATACCTACACGATGCATAAGGGGAGCAATCATAATTGCTCTTTTTGTCTCTGTGTGGATCAGTCATGATCCGACCTAGTTGTAAAAAAATTCGTGCTAAAGCTATAGCAATTGAGGTACTAATTTGTTGTTATACTATAGTGGCATTAAATGATTTGATATGTGTTATGTATTATAATTAGTGGGATGACGTTATTGATGATTATTTTGTACGTCGTATTTAGGGATTCCACAAAACTCTGAGGAAGTATTTGTTGGGACAAACCCGGGGCCCAATAGAGCAGGGTTGCAGCAATAGTAGAGCAAAAGTAGAGATAAAATGATAGACACACAGATTTACGTGGTTCGGCATAAAATTACCTACGTCCACGGGCAAGGATAGAAGAATCCACTATGAGGAGAAAACTCTGGAGTTACAATCTCTTTTTACAAGGAGATACTCTCTTTCTATTTTTTCTCTCTCACACTTCTATAAGAGAAGTTGTTTCTGGAATGAGTTTTTCCTTACGGATTTGGTGCCTATTTATAGTATTTTAAAAAATACTATGCATAATAAAATAATAATAAATTTACTATGCTGTGAGGCTCGCTCTTTTGTTTTCTTTTCCTTCTTTTCAACATTTTTGGTCTAGTGGATTCATTTGTCAAAGAAACATGGACGGCTGCCTGACAATCTCCCACTTGAAGAATTGATTGAGTATCAATCATATCTTCACATCATTCTTCCTATCTTGCCATCTTCATGTTGCTTTACGTCACTGACAGACCACAAGAGGATCGATACAGAATAAAATTGTCAGTATGGACTGCTTTTGTCAAAAAATCTGCTAGGTTGTCTTTGGTGTGAATTTTCTGCATATCCACTGTTCATTCTTCCACTTTCTCACGAACAAAGTGATACTGAACTCGAATGTGTTTGGTCTTTGAATGAAAGGCTGGATTTCTTGCCAAATGCAAAGCACTCTGACTGTCATAAAATAAAGATATCTTCTTTTGTTTATGGCCGAGTTCCCCCAGCACCATCTTCAACCACATCGCTTCTTTACTGGCTTGTGTAGCTGCTACATACTCTGCTTCTGTTGTTGAAGTAGCCACAACTGACTGCAGTTTTGAAACCCAGCTTACAGCTCCGCCAGCAAGTGCAAACACATAACCTGTGGTGGATTTGCTATTATCACGATCACCTGCATAATCAGAATCAACATATCCACTGACAATAAAATCAGATCCCCCATAACATAATGCAACATTTGAGGTTCCTTGAATGTATCTTAGAACCCTCTTTACAGCATTCCAATGCTCTTTACCAGGATTCGCCATGTATCGACTAACCACTCCCACTGCTTGTGCAATGTCTGGTCTTGTACAAATCATCGCGAACATTAAGCTTCCCACTGCTGATGCATACGGCACTCGAGACATCTCCATCCTCTCTTCTTCACTGCTAGGACTCATACTGGAGGATAACTTGAAATTAACAGGAAGTGGGGTAGAAATTGACTTACAATCTTGCATGTTAAAGCGTCGCAAGATTTTCTTCAAATAGTTCTTCTAAGAAAGCCAAATCTTCCTATTAATTCTGTCTCGGTAAATTTGCATCCCTAGAATCTTGTTTGCAGATCCTAAATCCTTCATTTCAAATTCCCTAGCCAACTGAGCCTTTAATTCTTTGATACGATCTTTGTTGGGGCCTGCAACCAACATGTCGTCAACATACAACAATAAGATAACAAAGTTATTTTCACCAAACCTCTTGAAATATGCACAAGGGTCTGAATTAAGTCTGTTGTATCCAAGGCTCATGATGAATGAATCAAATCTATTGTACCAACATCTCGGCACCTGTTTTAGACCGTACAGAGAATTGTTCAATCTGTAAACTAAGTTTTCTTTCACTTTTTCTTTAAAACTTTCTGGTTGGAGCATGTAAATTTCTTCTTCAAGATCTCCATGAAGAAATGCTGTTTTCACATCTAGCTGCTCTAGATGTAAGTCAAATATAGCGCTCATAATCAGGACTATTCGGACTGTTGTTAGTCGCACTACAGGAGAAAATATTTCATTAAAATCAATACCTTCTTTCTGAGCATATCCTTTTACCACCAATCTAGCACGATACCGCTCCACTTGATCATCGCCATTTCGCTTGATCTTGTAGACCCATTTGTTTCCAATGGTCTTTCTTCCTTGTGGCAGTGACACAAGTTCCCAAGTCTTGTTCTTATGGAGAGCTTCAATTTCTTCCTGCAATGCTGCCATCCACAAAGATGCATCTGTGCCATTTATAGCTTCATGAAAAGTTGATGGCTCTCCATCTTCTGTTAGAAGACAGTATGCAACATTACTCTCCGTAATATACTCCGAGTGCCAAGTCGGTGGTCTTCTCTCACGAGTTGACCTTCGAACTTCTGGAGCCTCGGCCTCGACTGGTTCTTGTACATCATGCTCCGGTGTCGCTTCAGAAGAATTCGGATTATCTTCTACCTGAACAGCTACAGTCTCTGAGTCCTTCCTCGAACTGCTTTCTTTCTCTTCACTTTGTAGTTGGTTCTCTACAAAGATAACATCTCTGCTGATGATAACCTTGCGGGTAGTGGGATCCCACAGGCGATACCCCTTTACTCCATCAGCATACCCCAAGAATATGCATTTTCTGGATTTTGAATCCAGCTTTGTAATTTCTTGGGCATTGTACATTACGTACACTGGACTTCCAAATATATGGAGGTTGGAATAATCAGCTGGCTTGCCAGTCCACATCTCCATCGGCGTCTTCAATTGTATTGCAGTTGATGGAGATCGATTCACCACATAACAGGCGGTTTTTACTGCTTCCGCCCAAAAGACTTTTTCCAGATTTGCAGTAGCCAACATAGCTCTTGTTCTTTCCAACAGAGTTCTGTTCATCCGCTCCGCCACTCCATTTTGTTGAGGAGTATAAGCCGTACTGAATTGTCTTTTGATGCCTTCATGCTTGCAGAATGCTAGGAATTCACCGTCTGTGTATTCTCCTCCATTATCTGACCTTAAGCACTTGATCTTCTTCTCAGATTCAAGCTCGACCCGCGCTTTGTAGGCTTTAAAGACTGAGAACACATCCGCCTTCTTCTTGATAGGATACACCCAACATCTCCTGGAGTAATCATCAATAAAGGACACAAAGTACTTTACTCCTCCTAAGAATGTAACTGGTGCTTGCCATACATCAGAATGAACCAGTTCCAGAATAGCCTTGCTTCTAGAACTCGATGTGTTGAACTTCAGTCGATGCTGCTTGCTTGTAACACAATGCTCGCAAAATGGAAGAGCTACCGAATTAAGTCCAGGAAGCAGTTTCTGATCGGAGAGAACCTTCAAGCCTCGTTCTGACATGTGGCCTAGCTTGCGATGCCACATCATGGTTTGTAAACCTCACTATCCTAAAAACTAAAAACTCTCCTCTCCATTGGATCTAGATTCATCCAATGGCTGAGATTAAAGCTGCATAAGGGTAATAAGGTAAAATAAACAGCCCACTAAAGAGAGGTAATTAATGCTACTCCATTTCCCAAAAGCTTGAACACTAAAAACCAATCCTCTCACGTTCTCCTCTCTCTCTCTCTCCTCCATTTCCCAAAAGCTTGCCAGCCCCCTCTCTCTTCCTCTCTCTCACCATCACAAACACCACCAACTCCTCACCGAGCTCCTCCAACTCCACTGCCCCTGAGCTCCCTCCGACACCCTGAGAACCACCAGCACCCAACGTCGTTCACCGCTCGTCGCCCACAGCCTTCCTCGCTGCCCTCTGACGAACCGACGCCCCTCCCTCAGACCCGACGCCGTCAACCTCCTCT